TTGAAAAGAGCAACAGCGCTCATCTGCACAAAGGGAGGGAGTGCCAAAAGTGACTGCCTACGTAGACGGGAAAATATCCTTGTTTCTCCTAACACCAGAATAACATCGCCTTTTAATAAAGATGATTAATTCTGCTTTCATTGATTGACAGCTAGCAAATCCAACTATTAAGATAACCACTCTAGCTAGGATGGGGCGCCCGAGAGGCAGACAGGCCGGACCCTCCTGGATGGTAGCCTGCAATCCAGTTTTAACGAAGGGAAGCTGTGATACCCATTCACGATGAGCATCCTTGTGGAGGAAGTACTACTATCTAGACGTTTTAATTGCAGAATATTCTTCCGGGTCTTCAGCACAAGAAAATTCGAGCAAGTTCATAATTCATAATCGTGCGTATTTCTTGGCTATCACTGGCCATTTTAACAAAAGGCGCAGGTGTCCTCTCCAAAGAAAGGCTTTTTTCTTTTAGGCAGGCCAAGGGACGATCGTTTTTCTAAAATTCAGTTCAGTGTTTCGCTCAACGGGATGCACTGCTTTATGTTCGAGACCAACCTCTGAATTCAGTCTGCATAGGGCAGTTTGAAATGAATGCTCTTAAAATGTTTTCTTCCACTTTCTGTAACAGTGAACGTAATAACCTTAACAGTAATTTGGGTCTCTTCTGGAAGTTTAAGAAAAACTTTGACTCCAGCTTAAGTCTCAGGTCTATACAAACAAATTCCTACTTGAAGAAATGGCAGAAGGAATATTTTGGCAGAAAACATTTGAGAAAAAGAGCTGCTCTAACTCCCTTCTGATCTCACACGTTTCATAACTAGTTTTCCATCTTCTTACCATTGCAGCAATTTTGAAGATCCAACATAAACATAAACTTTGCCGTATGAGCGATACTGAAGTTTCCTTTTAAAACTCTCAGTCAACAATTTCTTGAGCATAATAATTTCCATGTTCCACTGAAATACGCTATACCACACTATCATTGAACGAGGACGTCCAGTGAACCGAGTCTTACATTGTAATATGAATTACTGCTAGGTGCAGTTTGATTTTTAAAAGTTTTCAACCAAAAAGTGCATTACTTCTAAGTAGCCACAGTAATCTTTAACTGTAACTTCTTATTTCTCTACGCATTTCAACAACTTGCAGTGATTAAAAAAGAAGCCAAAACACCTTCATTTTCTTGAAGGAGGTCCTCCTTGGTTAGAAAATGGACAAACGGTTCTCTTCTTAAGAGAATACAGGAGTAAACCAAAAAGTCCTGCTACCACCAGTCTCGTTCCCCTCCCCATTACCCTGCAGGCAAGCAAGCATTGCTCGGCGAGCTACAGAGCACCAGGCCAGTAACGGTGCTGGCAGACGGGCAGCCCTGCTGCAACGGTGGGCGACGAACCGCCCATCGAACCCTGAGAAGGCACTGTGGGAACTGACAGCTAGGGTGCCCTAGGCACTGCAGTTAGTCTTTTGTTGCGGGACAGCGAGTTTTCCCTCAGCTGTGAGGCACTTAAAGCCTCAGCCTCCTAACAATTACTATTCCACGCTACAATTGACAGACTGAGCTAATGATTTAGTACTTTCTGCCTGCGCCCAGTGTAGGAGTTACTGAAGAAACAGAAAGGGAACAGTAACACGGGCCTCATCGCAGAGAATGTAACACTGTCAAAGTGCTTCTAACTGTAAATTGTGTGATGCCAACAGAGTTACGATGCAGAATATAATTCTTTTGCGTAACATGGCGATGCTCACAAACATTAGTTTAAACAGATGTTTGTATTAATTCTGCAGCCATTATTATAAAAGAATCTTTAAAGCAGGTACATGCTGATAGGCTTAAAATCAGAAACAAGTAGAAGTGCCTTCCTTTTTATTAGGCTGTTTTGTAACGTTAAAAAAGCTGAAAGTATTCTATAGTTCTACTACAGAAATTCTTCTAGAGTTAGCTATAGATTGTTTTTCCTTTTACCAGTCACACACATTTGCATCCTGACGGGGAAAAATCTTAAATACAAGTGCCATAGGCTATCTGTGGACTTAAAAGACATTTGTGTGCGTAAGCGTGCACAGGATCAGAATCTCGGCCACTATCACACAGCACAAAGCAACAAGGTCATATAAATAATTTGAAAAACCCTGATGATTACCTTTAGGTGCTAAACTACAGATCAGAAAATAAACACGAGGATTTAGAGAAAAGAACAGGACCCTAACGCTCGCGTTGCGAACCTGCGCCAAGTTCTGTTCTCATGCAGTAACAAGCTCCCTGGAAGAGGTGTTCCGGTACAGAAACAATGGCAGACGCCTCTCCGCAACGACACCGAAACGGCGCACGCGTTCAGCTCTGCTTCCTAGCTGAACGTAACGCTGTGGGCTGAAGGTTGCCATAATCTCAGTTAAAACCCTCGGACGGTTAGCTAGTTTATCAAAGTACCCCTAAACTATTGTGGTTCATTCTTCTTTGCCCGTCTTATAAAAAATGGAAAGAAAGTATAAACAGGACTATGAACGCAGGGTAATGCATCATTTATGAATTATCTTGTTAGTGCAGAAAACAAAACATGGCTTTGAAAACAAAACATGGCTTTGAAAACAAAATCTGCTGCGGACTCTGCTATGTTTGATGGGAGCCCTTCAAAAGAGTTCATGGCTTAATGGAGGCTGTTTATGTGGGACTTCGATCTGTACCTGCTGTCCCCTGTCACTCCCTGGAAACTTGGCGGCAGATGTTGCAGCGTTAAGTTGTCTCTGAAGTGGCTCTCTGTCCTCATCTCCCCACCACAACAGAGTCAAACTGTATTAGATCTCTTTATTTGTGCCTGAGGCATGTTTGGGAGCGCAGCTGTGTCCACCCCCACTCTACCTTTAGTGTTTCAGCCCCCAGGCGGCAAATGTGAGACCAAAACTGTTCTGCCACTCTTCACTACATCTGCTGACAATCCTGCAGCCTCGCTGCAGGCTGCCGAGGACCTGTGCCTCCGCTCTAAACAGATGTCGGCGACAACCTGCTAGCTCACACCTGTACAAGCTTCCCTAACCTCACGGATTCTAGCTGAAAAATTTATGGCTCAGAGGACTTCCATCCACAATCAAAGCTTCTTGGCTCAACCGCGTGTAGCCCTCAAACTGGGCCACCCTCGGCATCATCTGGCAACATGGCAGAGGTGGGAGAGGAGAGAGAGGAAGGAAGAAAAAGCTCGCTCTGCTTTGATACTTCATGCCTAAATTTCAATTACCTGATCAAGGACTTGAATTCAGCAGTGAATTCTTCTACTAATGGGAACTACCAAGTTCTTACACAATAGAAGAAAGACGACAAAACAGAACAACTACGTGGCTGCTGTTTACCGTAACGGTGCTTCCGAAGTAAGTATGCGTACACGTGTCTCGCTGTACATACACGTGACTGCTCATCCGTTCACTGACTTAAACCCATCAGGGGTACAGCATGGGATCTCTACCTAGCAAGTGATGAACAAGTAAAAAGACTTCATTTTTCTTCCCCAAGATATAAAATACCATGCCAGATAGAAATTGCACTCCTACAGTGTCACAGGTCACACCGTAACAACCATTGGCATTTTATTCACGAGTACAAATTCTACTCCTTTTTTCAGTTGGGATACTGAAGATTAGCGAGCTACTTCTCTGTTCCTCATAAAGCAAGGTGTTGGTCAATGTCTTCCTGTCAAGTCCAGAGAAGGCGTATGCCTGACCTCAAAATGGATCAGCAAAGCCTTCCCTGGCAGGCTATTTTTACAGTAGCTACCTGTCTTTGCGGTCAGAAATCCTCAAAACAGGGCCTGACTGACAATTTTTTCGCCTGTTCAGGCTCCATTTCTTCTACGTTCCCATTTATGTTGAATTTACCTGTTAAACTGTATAGTACTGTATATTTTGTATGTAGATTTGTTATTGTTAGTTCTGCTGCATCATTCATGCTAACAGTAGATAACTTGCCAACGTAACAACTACAGTGGTAACACTAGTATTGGACCATGCTCCCTGTTTCCAGCGTTGCACTTTGTCATTCTGCTTCTTCCGACTCCTATCCTTGTCTTAATTAAATCTCACCTCTTCTTCCTTTGGAACAGTACCAAACTTCATCCCAGGAAAATAATCCAAATACCGATTACCTCCCAGTCTCTCCAAGGTAACTCCCTCCCTTTAACTCCTCTAATTCTTTTATGTCATCTTTATGGTGTACGTTGCAAAAACAGTGTTCTCGCACACTACTGCTTTGTGGTATGAGAGAATCTGATCTGTCACGCCCACCTGGGGCCAGTTTGTTGAGAAAAAGTTGCCCTCTCGTTTAGAGGAAATCGTTTGCTCCTATATCTCTTCCACGTGCCACAAGCAGGAAGCTGAATGGTCCCAGTAGATTTGAAATACCTTGATGATAAAACAGTTCCCGAGATAAACGCTAAGATTTAAAGTAATACTTTCTTAAGGAGTAACAATCAGAAATACACAATCTAGCTTCACTATAAAAGGTTCAAATAATAACTCTACACAGCAGTCTTTATAGTGGAGGCCTCTTTTTCATGGGTCACGAGTGTATTAGAAGAAAGGATTGTCTGAGAAACAAGTTTCTTCACCTTTTTTTTCTGTGAAAGCTGCCTTTGGCATGGCAGTGTAAAGCTACGTGAAGCAACTTGCAGGAAAGTTACTGGTGATCACTTAAATGTGATGTGGGTTTAGTATTCTGATTGCCGGACTCGACTCTTAGAAATAGCTGGTTATGAGAAAGATTTGGGTACTTGTTACAGAGAGTTTACACTGAATGAAGTGTGTGCTATGTTTTTGTTTTCCAGCTGAACACACACAAAACACAGAATCCTTCACTCTGCTTTCAGGAGACCCGTCTTTCTGCAACACATCAGGGCTGATGTGATGCATCTTTCAATGCGCTTTGTTTCCCCAACGCGTTACTCTTCCCATTGTGCCATTCTTTTGGCTGCAGTGCTTTCTTTAGGTAAGGTCACGGAATTACCAGGGTGCAGCAGCTGCTAAAGCCTGGCTGTAACATGCCCCTCTTTTGCCGACCGTAGGGGATACACGCGCCACACACAAACCTCATCTCCTTGCTGTGGTCGCATCAAAGAGACTCTGTCATACTGTCTTCGTAACAGCGCCCACAGTGCATCGAGTCGACCCTGTGGCAACAGAGCAACAGGACTTTCAGTACAATAAAATCAGTCAAATCAGAGCACGCCACGCCTCTTAAGTTACTGTCCAAGGAGATCCGTGGAGAAATTTACTGGCAGAACTCAGCAGCAGTTCCTTAGAGCTCCATAAGCAAAGTATGAACTTAGGCTGTCACCCACACCGCACAGCTGTGGTGCTGCTCTTTCCCATCAGTGAGTGCTAGGTACTGCACTCTCACCTCCACTGGGAGCGGAGTGGCTGTGACCTAACCCACGTTTACTTCTGAGCGATCTACGAGTAATATGTTTATTTGCCAATATTTTGGGCTGAATTGCCCCATAGAATCGTTAAGGTTGGAACAGACCTCTAAGATCATCGAGTCCAACCGTCAACCCAACGCCACCATGCCCACTAAACCATGTCCCCAAGCGCCTCATCTACACGTCTTTTAAATACCTCCAGGGATGGTGACTCCACCACTTCCCTGGGCAGCCTGTTCCAAGGCCTGACCGCTCCTTCAGTGAAGAAATTTTTCCTAATGTCCAATCTAAATGTCCATCTGGGATTTCTCCTACATAAATGTATTTGTTTTTACAGCATGTATACAGCAAGTTCATTGCTCTCAGGAAGCCTCGGACCTGCTAGGCACACGGCATACAGCTGATCCGTGCTGCGCAGTAAGTCCCGCATATAGTGAATGCAGCAGTTTCACTGCGAGCGCTCAGGCTGCCTGTGCAGAACATGCATAGCAGCTCTGATGCTTGTCGCAAGCATCCCGCTCCACACGGATGGGTTACAGCGTCTGTGTGTGTGGATAACACGTCTTCAGGTCTTTCTAGTGGTCAGGAAGGACTTACAAGGAGTTGTGAAGACAGAATAGATGAATCTGTACTCCCAGCTAAACCTGCTGCATTCTCTGCTCTTACACGTTTCAAGCAAAGTATTTATGGACCCATCTTCAGTTTTTAAGAAGAGCTTGATGGGTTTGCAAGTGACTCATGGCATCTACAGAGGAAAATGTCTTTATTTTATGCCGTTTATTATGTTTCACTTGTTTGTCAGACTTTTTGCATTATATTGTTTTATATAATTTTTTGCTTTTCTTGGTTGGTAATGAATATGTATGTTTAAAACTTAGTATAACAGCTACAAACTGTGTCATTTTAGGCTTAATTAGATATACATTGAGACAGACCAAATGCCAATAAACCCGTAGGTTTTAGTACTCTTACTATACGATATGTCCCTTTTTTGGGGAAGGATAACAGAATGTGGCAGTAATGATGAAGTACTGCACTTAGGGCTAAAAACTGTTCCTGCTATTCATCCTGAGTACGTGTTCACTTTGAGAATAGTACGTTACACTTGAATGAGAATACTTGAAAAATAATGTACAGTTCAGCGTGCATAAGACTGGTAAGGCAGACAAAATCCAGCCTTTACTACAAAATTATATGGTACTGAAGACTACAAAGATTACCTTAATTGGCGTATACCACTTTTCCTGAATGGCTGGTGAGGTAGGCTTTGGTTTGGGTGGTTTAGGATGAAAAGGTTCTTCTGGTTCTTCTGGGAGTTTCACCACAGCGTTCTTTGCTTTTTCTAATCTAGCCCCTTCTTCAGTGGATCCTTTATCACCCCAGCGAACCTAAGTAAAGCCAGAGTTCGGACGTAAATGCACTGTATGCAAAGGACAAGGAAACTGTTGCAAGTAACAAAAGTAGCTGAAAAAGTTTATATTTGGAAGAAGTTCTGAATAAACAAGAGTTGAGCTACTGAGGAAAATGTTCCCTCTTCGTTTTTGATGACAAGCATTCTTAGCTAAATACATTTGTAAATATGAGTCTCTCAGTAGCGAAAAGTCACGAGAAATACTGAAAGAAAATTCTACCATGCATCACACAGGCTGTATAGGAGACAGGAAGTCTGGGAAATCTTCTCTAATTAATGATGGAAAAATATCATTTCCAGTTCTGATTTATCCTAAAATACCAGATCTTAATCTGGCACCGATGAAAGCCTAGATTTTTGTCACCCCAGATTTCCTAACACAGCATGTTTGTTGAGAATCCCAATTTAGATAGAAGACGATACTTGAGGAAGTTTTAGGACAAGCTCCTTGAAACTGCTCAGGTTTTCAAGTAGTTCTGCAAGAAGATGCATACTGGAGAAAACACAGATGAAGCGGTCTAACCTGCATAATAAGTAAATGTAAAACATGTAGCGATGTATATTTTATCACTGCCACAAGTATATAAAATGTATACAAAGGGTTCAAAGAGAAAGGAAACCTGGATTATTGCTGTTGGTGAGACAAGCGCGTATTTCCACTTCCATAAAAGGCTGTACTTACTATGCTGTAAAGAGGAAATACAGGGAAAAAACCTTCCCTCTGAGAGAAATGATTTGTCTTGCTACAGTAATCTTATTTCATCTCGTAACTGGAAACGCCGTGCAGCAATCTGAACAAGGATGTTTGCTGTATTGTACAAAGAAACAAACCTAGACAAGACTGTTACTTTATCATCCAAAAAGAGCATCTAAAAGCTATGGCTGGAGCTTGAAAGTTCTTAGTAAAACTGGCCTGGATTATTTTCTGTGCAAGACTTCCTAAATCATGCCATCTGCTACCATCTAGCCTCTAAGGAGGACCTGAAACACCTAAACCCAGGAAATTAAATTCTGACGTAACATCTTGGGTAAACGTGACACGCCAATGAGTCACGAAACTGTTACTGGAAAATAGCTGGAGACCGTTACTGCAGGACTCCACCAACATACTTGTTTTTTTCAGGGACCTCCTGACAAGATGCCAGGCATGAAAAGAGAAGAATCCAAGTAAGAAAAATCAGAGAAGACTGACCTTCCACCCCGAGGGAAAGAATCAAGAGCATCACTGCACACTGCTTGGTAGGTACATGTCAGTTCTGTCTTCCTACCTGCCAGTTCAAGCACTTGAAACGCAGGCAGAAAAACAACTCTCCCACTGCAAAGGGGCACAACATGGTTTTGCTCACCAGGAAAAAGACATGCTCCTGGTCTTCCTTCTGCTACCCAGAAGGAGGGAGAAGACTGCTCCAGGTCTTGCTAGGGACACTCTATAATGTGCAGGGATAACTATGCCATAGGATGGGAGAAGGAAGCAGCCTGACTTCTTCATCCTCATCAGTGCCATACGCAGAATGTGCTGATACGGAAAGTGAGGAAAACATGTAGGCAAGCCCTTCAGAAAAATGAAATACCTTGGAGGAAAATCTTGTCATTTTATCACCACCACCAAGTGTTTTTTACCACTGTAATCTCAACGTAGAGAATGAGAGCAGCGAAGTACGACAGAGCTTAATTTGGTCTGTAATACTGTAACTCACCTTTGTAAAATAAAGACCATCACTTCTTAGGAGGGGGATTGTTTTGAACCTTTCTGTTATTTTGAACTTTATTGTTTGGCTTGCTTAGTGATTTCTTTTTCTCGCTGGGGAATCCTCTCTCCGCAGTATTAGAATGGGCTTTCATGTCCAAGTAGGCCCCGCTGAGTCATTAAAATGCATCTGTATCTTTCACTGTGATCAATGGTACTTTTACGGTGTGTTTTATGAGGTTGTTAAAATGTGTTTTAAACACTGTTAAAACCATTTAGAGATAGATGGTGGATTCCTTACTGATAAAATGACCTTCTCCTTCAGATTAAAGCAACTTCACCCAGAAGCAGCCAGAATTTGTGGAGTCTGACAACACAACTTCGACATAAAAACTTACTGCCAGTAATGGGTGGGGTCTGGAAGGGACATCATAAAACTTTAAAGCAATGCCGGAAGACAGGTCTAGGAAGAGTGAACCACATTGGCTAGATTATTTTGGACTGTGGCAGAGGGGTGAAGCTAGTGGGGAAGGCAGGAGTCAATGTGTAACTGCCCTGAAAGGGAATATAGTAAGCCAAGTAGGACAGGAGCGGTAAGCGCAAGTTTACTGGTTCATTCTTTCCTCTTCTCTCTGCAAGGAAGCTGCCAGAAGAATCAAGCTGCCAGAAGAACGGCAGAAGAAAAGAGCACAGAGAAGCAATAAAAAATAGACAACTGCACTACCACATGAAATGAAAACAGGGAAGAAATGTAATGATTAGTCCAGCAAGGTTTTCGTTGGCCACAGCACAGAAACCACATTTAACTGTCAGGTAAGGAATAACCTCCCTGTGACCCGCTCACCCTCATCATCTTGTTAGCCTGTTTTTGTTGTCTCTCTCGTTTCCACACTTGCTCTGCCCTGATTCACCAAACGAGCAACGTGCTCTCCTGAGCCAGTGAAAGGAACGAGGTCTGATACCGCTCTGTCCGAACAGCTGAGAATGGGCCGTTAAGCCAGCGTTTCCCTCGGCTCCGCTGTTACAGATACTACAGGACAGAGCTGAAGCTCCATATTCAAATGCTGAGGCATTTGCGATGCGGCGCCCAACCCCAAAATTTGTTAGTACGCTCAGGTCCCAGAGAAGGACAGAGACACGGCTCCATGGAACGAGGTGCCTTTCAAGAGCCCATGATTGTGTCGTCAGCAATTTCACTTGGTTTACATCTTTAGCCCTTAGTCCTGCACAAAATTCCTAGCACAGATGAAAAAGTTTTCTAACCTAATCACTACTTTCTGCTTTCCTCTTTGAAGAGGAAATACTGTATTTTTGCCATGTGACGAACATGCGTTTCTTTATGGAACTGCTGAAGGAAACGCATATAAGCAATACAGCTTTAAAACTTGCATGTTCTACTGCTGCGTTTAAAAAGAACTCAAGCAAAGCTGATTCTTGGGCCAATACCTTTAAAGTTTCATCAAGATACATCAATATGGCCTAGGTGGGTATTTCAGACAGAGAGAGTTTCCTAGATTGAAGTTAAGAACTGCAGAAAACTGCTTTGCAAATTCCATAAAGGCTGACTTGACTATAAAATCTGACATAAGGACGTGCCCATAAGGATGCACATTTTTCATTCTGTTTTAATTAATGTGATGCTATCATGTCTCTTCAAAGACAGGCACTGTTGTCGCTGTGAGTTCCTTTGGGATCAAGCCTCTCCTTAGCGTCACCATTGTCAGCGCATTTGGCTGGCCCACAGTTGGAGGACTTATGTTTCACTGTAATTTCTTCCAAAACATTCAGAAAAGGCTCTCACTATCTCTTTCTCATTAGCTTGATGGAAAGAGCATGTCTTCAGGCAGCTATTTAAAGTTCCAGTCAAATGGAACTACTGAAAGCTGTTCTTTCATAGGCAAGGTCAAAATTGTTCGATACGGTAAAAAATGTTACAAGGCTTATGTCACTGGTAAGGAAGCACACATTATGCCATTGTATTTTCAGTACACTTCAAAAATCTTTGTTTCCACCATTTGCAGCCTCAGAGAGCTTGTGCTTTAGTGAATTGGCATCTCCATTTCGTACAAACCTCCATCCTTTTAATTCCTCCAACTCCGCGTCCACCATAGTAGGAAGCATCCACTGTGGGCCATTTCTTGGTAGGCAAGGGCTCTTGTTCTTCTTCCTGTCAATAAATTCAAGTAACATTTACTTCGGAAAGATACCTTTTTTTTTTCCCCCACTAAGTGTCTTTTTAGTGTATTTCACTAGAGTTCACAGAGAGTAAGTTTTCCCATGTTAGGTGTGAAAGACCGGGTATTTAGGTTCCCCAAGTGTTTACCAATCTCCAAACAAAATCTGGTCACGTTTGGAAATATTTTTAATGTTTTGCATGGAAAAAGCGTTGGTGGCGACCATTAGGAAGGTCCAAATGGGGAATCTAACTGCGCGTTCTACCGACAGTCATTCGTTTGCCTTGTCCTTTTCCTTTCCACTAATAAAAATAAGCAAAACACAGACAAAGAAAAGGATTTGCAGCGGCTTCTTGTACAGAAAATATAACGCCTTCAAAGAGCTAGATCATCAGCCCTACTCATTGGGATTCAGCAGACAGCGTTCAGCAGATCTGCAGATAAAGGTTACACAGCCGATCGCAGTTTCGTAAGCCAACCTTTGTCAAACTCGCTTTTGGCTGCCTCAGCTCAGTGAAGCGTGCCTTATCAGGGACTTAACTGTCAGAGTACACTTGAGTACGCTCAAGCAATTGGCTAAATCGAGACCGAGGGGCAAAAATACTGAAGACACCAGAAGATCCTCCAGTGCATTATTGCCCGTAAGAGGGAGAGAAATTCCCTTATAAGGGTTCTTCAATGTCTGGAATGCCAAAACTGTGGGAAAATGCTGTTTAAATCATACATGAATCTTTAGACTGTTATACAAGAGCTACTCGGTCTTTCTGCTTTCACTGCAGAATGGGAAAAATAATATTCAACTATCTTGGGACAAAGCCCCTAAGTATTTCTGTGGATTTGAGCTTAATTCATGCCACACTGAGACGACTGAGACAGAACAGAGATTTGGACTTTGGCCATCCCGCTCCCAGCTTAAGGCTTCCCACGGGGCAGTTCTTTCTTCTTTGGCAGCTAGGACAAAGAGCCGGATTCGCAGAACGCAGGAAAGCAGAGGGGAGCGGTATTGTGTAACCGGTGCGATGAGCGGAGCACCATCATACCGTACCTCTTTCGGAGCTGGCGGAGGCGGAGGGGGATCTTTGATGACCTGAAAGAGCCAAACGTATAAAAGCATAAAGAATTGCACTGGCAGCATCCAAAAGCCAACAGAAAATGTTAAGAGTGAACTGTTTCCATCTGAGTCCCCCACATCTGCTTGCAGACTGGCAACCGCTGCTGCCAAGTCCCTCGGGTATCGATTATCAAGGCCTTCTGGAAATTAACACCATCCGTCTAATAGAAAATAACATCAATTGACTGGCAGACACTCTTTGGGCAGACGTGTCTGCCACTTTGCTTCCTGACCGGATAAGACTCAGTCGTTCTAAGTAATAGCCAGTGACGAAACCCTATGGAGTTAATTAGCAAGCCTGGGAGGAAAAGCATCCCAAGGTCTACGTGAGGTCTTGCATAATCTTGGGCCAAGATGCCTGCTTCCTTGTGCCATGCTGCTGGATAATTTCTGGCCCGATGACAAGTGTGAAATGCCTTCTGGTAGCTCGGGCTTCACCTCTAGACGTCCAGATCGCTTCCGCAGATCTCACATTTCAGATCTAATAACTTAAGTATGTAGCTCCTTGGCTGTGCAGCATGGAGTGCCTGCAAGTGGGCATTACGCTCACAAGGCTTCTTAAACTGTTTCTGGATAAGGCCCGCTCTTAGGATAGTTGACTTACGCCTATATTTAAACCTCTACCTACAGTTTCTTCCCGTTTCCTTTCTGACATGCATACTGTAAATCTCAGGGAGCTCCCCGGTACTGACAGGAATCCACTGAAAGCACAGGGAGGGGAAGAGGAAGGCAGCGACCCTCTTAAATGATTAGGATGAAAACTGAATGCACAGCCGTTCTTCCACAAGAAAGGCAGGTTTGTAAGCTAAAAAGAAGCACTTCAGTGCTGTCAAAGTCATTTTTTGTGCTTGAATATTGTATAGAAATGACTAAAAAATACCCCATTAATATAAAGGAGTCTGTTTCTGCTATGCCTTAGTATTATACAAACATAACCAAAACTGTCCATGACGACAAACACCTAAATCTCCTACTACAGGATTAAGTACCTTAATTGAAATATGTCTTATTTTATTCACTCCGTGCTATTAATTATAGTACTTTCACTTGCTCTACCACTGCCTGTAATAATGTCACTGCACAGATGTATAGCATCATACATAAAAGAAACGTATTTTTCTTGACCAATAATCAAGAGTTTTCCTTCTTGATTTACATTTCAAGTCACAGTGCCACCAAGATAGTTACTAGTTACTGCCTAAACAAGCTATGGACTTTTAGCACGGGATACACGAATTCTATCAAATAAGAGAAATAAGTTATGGCACCCTTGGAAACGTTTTTGTACGGTGCTTCAGGTTTACGATACTGAATTGTTCATCAAGCAAGCTCAGAGTACTTTGAGTGGATTGGAAAGTCAACTATGGATTTTAACCAGACATCCCTTTGCTGCTGTGATGTTGCAAAAACATGCCAGAAATTACTTTTCTTTAAATATTTCTGAATACTTTTTCTTCCCACCCATCAGGAATTTTCAGAATACTTAACAGAAATCAATTATTCAATTAGTGAAACATTCCTGAGAGCCAGATTGGAATTACCGCCCTAATTTTACAAGAAACAACAACGCGGAGGGATCACGGGACAGATTCTGAGAGATACTTGGATGCTGAACAAGATTTTCCAAAGATACTTAATTCTCACTGAAAGCAATTAAAACACTGGAAACGGTGAAACAGTACTTTCAATATATTAAGGGTCACCTTATCTTATTTAATTCCCATTCTTATTTCCCTTTTGCCTGTCTCTAACGATTATCTCAACAAAACGTATTTTGCTGCCAAGACTGCAAGCTGTACGGGGGAAAAGCCTAGCTAGGTTGCGGCTTTCTGTAAATACACATTAAACGGTATTATCACTCCACTGCCTTCAGTTCTACAATTCTTAAGTCTTGCAATCTCTGCCGAGCAAAGACAACTTTGCGTAGTAAGCTTCTTTGTGACGCATGCTAAAGTTCGCTTGGGCCCTATGCTTATTGATATCTACGGAATCAAAATTTCTACCCCAGTGAATCAAGAAAAACTCTACTTGTTGGACCTCACTGGGCTTCAGAAGTCACGAGTCAATGACAGTATTTGTTTGACTCCCTGAGCAAAGGATCTAACCCTATGCCAGCTGCTAAAGTCCCTGAAGTTATAGGGTAAACTTGATCTGAAGCTAACCAATACATTAATTAGCTGCTATTTCTAATAGCTTCAAAAAATCAAACTTGTTTTAAATGTGACAGTGGTGTGAGAAAATAATCTGCTTTGAGTAGCAGATACTCACCCCTGCTGACAGAAGTGGAATGTAAATGCCTGCATCCTTATGTTTCCACAGGCTCCTCACACGCTCACACGCTCTCTCTCACACGCGCACACACAAAGATTATTTTCAGTCTTGTGTGATATTTCAAGTGAAATCAGTAGAAAGCCATTTTTAAAAAAGAGAAATCCAAGGAACCCATGCAGCTCTGGCAGAAAACAATGCAAATGCAGCATGAAACGGCGCATACTGAAGGTCATAATATTGCAAATTTTTCCTGAACTTGATTCAGATTGTTTAAATATGGAAGACTCCGAATAATGCTGCTGTCTTATTAACCCCGTGTAGAGATGGATTACTTCCTAATGGTTTTTTGTTTTGTTTTATTATCATCATCCCCAGGCAAGGCTGCATCTCCTTTATTTAGCTGCAAAGAATGAAGACTTGAGTTTGGAGGAGAGCCGATTTCTTATAAAAAAAAAAGAAAGAAAAGAAGTTAGTTGCTTCAGGCAACAGTCCCTTTGATCTGCTCATTAACACTTTTCAAATGTTCGCGTGATGTGGGCATTAGGAAATGTCAGCACCAGAGCCTGAAGCCAGCTTGATGCGATCATATGTTCTGATATTGAGGGAAGAGTGAAAGAACTGTCAACAGTGAACTGCCTTTAAAAAAGGGTGGGGGGCGGGGAGGGGAGAAAAAGAAAAAGGAGTCCCCCTACCCCAACCTGTAAGTGTACATGACCTCATGGCAAGGAACGCTGTCAAGACTGAGTCCTAGCAAGGATGCAGTGGAGTGCCGAACCACCCGAAGCTCGCGCTCTGCCTGCAGGCGGTAGGGATTCCGCGCTCGTGTGGCTCCGGACGCTCATTCTGTTCTGTCTGCAACACCTTTTGCCTCCCTCTCTTCCATTTGATTCTGAACCACGGCATGCTTACAAGGTTTGAGGGCTGCTGCCTTCTTCCTTGCTCTTTGTCCCGTGAAATCAGGCGCTCCATGCTGCCAGGGAAGCGGACTCAGAGGAAGGGAAGAGGAGGTCCTGCCTGGCCACAGTATGCTGCCTCTCTTGTCAAGGACTCTGGCACCAAAGCAGTTCCTCTGCTGCTCCAGGTTCCACAGGCGCAAGACAAGACAAGGAATACAGTAACAGCCTGGAAGCAATCTCCACTTGCCAAGTCCTCAGCGCTGTCGTTGAACCGGATGAATAGTAAACTTCACCAATTTAAAACCCCAACACGCAAGGAGAGGGAAGGAGTTGGTGAAACAGCATTGCTGACTGCTGCTAGAAGGATAAAGAGTGCACTCAGATGAAAAGAGATGCAATGTGTGTAAGGGGTTATTAAGACAACGCGGGATTTCCAACTTGAGAGCCCATAATGGACTACAAATACCAATTTTAGCGATAGTACTTTTCAAATGGTCCTTGATTTCAGGGTAACATCTGCATACCGTTATGGCCAACAACTTTCAAATAATAGAGAAAAGGCTTTTATCAAAGATTTCGCAGAAATGTAACCCGGGCTCACTCAGTAGAAAGCCAATGAACAGCACACCAGCACGCTGATGCTGCTCGTGTGTGTGCAGTCTCGGAAAGCCAGAAGCACTGCTAGGAGTGCAGTCCACGGTGTTGAAGCTGGTCTCTTCTTCCATTTATTGCATATCACTAATGAAAGAAAACTCCCTCAACAGATGGCTTACGTCACACGTAGCTCTCCTGTTACTTAACCTATTCCCAACACGAGTTATAATCATGAGTCACACATCCAGTGACTTTTTCTAAATAGTCTTTACTCACCAGTTTGCAGCAGAGTGGCCAGAACCACCAGAGCAGACCGAGTGCCACTAACAGTAACAGCACGAGAACGGCAATAAGCGCTGCTACTCCACTAGACTGCGAAGAAAGCAGAAAGACAGTGTCAGTGGATGTCGCGTATAACTGCGGCCCGTTTTTCCCACTCACCCCAAAACAGCTTCCTACTGACTGAGACAAATCTCAAACAAATTCCCACTCGTCGGATCCTGTCCTTGCCCACGGAGAAATTCCCCACAAAGGATCAGGAAGGGGATCTTAGCCAAATTCGTATTTGGCACAAGTTCAGTGACACCCTCCGCTGTAAGCCTCCTCAGTTCCACGCGTTATGTAGAAGGTAAGCTAGGAGGCTTCAACAGGAGCTCGGTATCGCAATGCGTCGTGTATCAACACTAAAAAGAGGGAGGAGGTGGTAAGATGCTATTCATGTTTCTCATTGCCTACATATTCTGGGGCCTGCAAGTCTCAGGTGTTGTAAGGGACTGAACACAGCGTGCTGCTGGACATATTAAATTGAACATGACAAAACTTTGAAAACTACTTTTTTCTGCCTACCTGTAAACCTAAGTTCAAATTAAGTCATTCAGTCATGGGTAACAGGCCCAACTTGCCCCAGTGCAGGCCAGGATTGCTTCTGCTGAAGTCAGTGGATTATTTTTGATGTAAGACTGATATCCTTGAGATAAGAATGAGGCCCAACTTGAAGAAAAGAAAGGGTACATTGACTGCTAAGAAATGAGCTGTTAGACACAAACAGGGGAAGTCTCCTCCGAAGTCTGTGGATGAGAGATGCCCTTCTCCTCCCATGAGAACGCAGGTCTGTACGGATCGGTGGGTGGGTGGAATTTTAAGGAATCTGTACTAACAATACATACGTAAGGCTTTCATGCTTATCACCCACACATCTGGGGCATTCACACTGTACAGACTAGCACACTAAATCCCTACAGTAGCGCTATTTGAACCTGAAGACACCATCCTGCGAAATTCTGAACGAGTGTTACTGCTTCCAGCAATATCGCTTTTAATGAAGAAATGAGCAGCCCATCTCCCACCACCTCAAACCCACATCGTGTAGGTGCTTTTATTTTTACACTTGGTGTTCTGTGCTGCTCTGCTGGTTTAGAACAACAACTGAGAAAAACGCAACAGTGACCTTACGAAAATAGAAGTTACTCAGACTTCAGCTGGCGAAAAAGGAAAGGAGGGACACCCTGGGAATCGCTAAGGCTGGAGCACAGCGTGAGTAATTCTGCCAAAGTGAGAAAAGTTGTACTGGAGATACACCATCGCAAACGGGAAGGTGAAACAGAGCTTTATTCCAAGTACATGTAGGTGCAGTGAGGCACACGCATTTATGAGAAACGGGCAAGATGCATGCCTGGGTGCCTAGATGCAACATATTTTTTGTTTGTTTTCACTGCAGCAATGTGTGTTTCCTAGGGGAGGCTGTAACTTGTAACTCTTAAATACCAACTAGCCATCAGCTGCTCAGCTATCAGAATTAGTGGAACAATTCTAGCAGTGACCCATTTCTTGCAGTTGCCCATCTGCTACTATGGAAACAGCAGTTCTCCTTGTACGGAGCTGTCTTTGCTGCAACATGTATGAAAGGCAAAAAAAAAAAAGGGGGGGGAAGGGGCGGGGGGAGGATGATCAGAAGTATGACAGTTTTTCCTGTCAATGCACATCTGTACTCATTCTGTTTACTGTTAGCGAAAACTTTTGACCACAGAGAAGCACTGTCAAAGTACAGCAGAGGGTACCCAGCAATTTGGTATGACCTGCTTTGCATCAATGCAATTTTTACCTATCTGTTCAATCTTAGCAATTTTTAAGGGGGCATGGGGACAGACTTAACATGTGCTGCTTTCTCTGAAAGGGCTAAGGTAAAGAGAAACGCGGTCTTCCGTTAGTCTCCAGCATCCTCCTGTGACCATACTGTCCGCACGTTATCATGCTGAGAGGCTGCTTCGGCATGCTTTGGTGTAAGATTGAAATGCTTCCGAATGATAAAGAGCCCCTTAAACAGAGAAACATGATTTGGGTAGTGTGTGTTTCTTCAGCCCTCAATTCGTTCAGGCTTTCTTCCTGAAACTGAAGGGCCGAACTGAGATGACTATCATTTCTACAGTTACCCAAGTATTTCGTTTTTAAATGAATAGAAGAAAAATGTCATTTTTTCTCTTTGAGGTTGATTACCTACAAGCGATAAAAATACTGTTGGAAAAATACATGCCGATGAGCAGAAGGTACTGTTCTGTATGCTTCTATGCCTGACAGGAAAGCTGCGCTAAAGTCACACTTTAAATGAGACAAATTTAAAGAAACATGGTATCCATGCGCAGGACGTTTTCAAAACCTCCGTCCCTAAATAGTGGTCTTGTGTCTAACTGCAAAAATTTAACTGACATTTTCCTGCCTGTGTAATACAGAAGAAAGAAAAAAATAACGGAGAGCAGAAATGTGAGATGAGAAATTTTATGTATCAAGTTAGAAAAGTCACTGACTGCGTAAGTATGTGGTTTATGCTACAAGCTGTTTTTAGCAGGATGTTCACATCCAGCCTGTTTTTTGACAAAGACTGTCTCCCCTAATTAACAGAGTTGAGAGCCTGCACTCCTTACTCGGGCACCAAAGTCAGGTATCTAAAGTTACGCAGCGTTAGTATCCTCCTGTAGGATTATAGCCACCTTCCATACCCCGGATGAAGTCCTAAGGTTCTGCCTATTCAGCTTCAGCCTGCTCCCGACGATCCTCCTCCGTGGAACTGTGCTGGAATGGGACCCCAGGTGACTGTGTCACACCTGCCTCTTATGACATGATTATATTTATAGCGAGCAAGTCTCTGATGGCATGGAAGCTTCCCAATATTTTGAAAACCACAGCTGCACACTGTGCTAAAGTAATTTGTGGTAATATATTTAGCAAAATACAATTCACAAGCTATAGGAAAATATAAGCCCCGCACAGGCACGGAACACACAGATACTGCTCGGATCTCAGGGCAGAGCCGGCTGAGGTAGCCTGGGAGAGGAGGAGAATTCCAGGGCTTTCCCTCTACATTATAGTTCTGCACATGGTCTAAATCAGCAGCCCCCGAAGCAGCTAGCAAGACAGATGCAGCAGCAAAAAAAGGAGAAACCCTTATAACAGAGCCTGTGTCAGAAAGCAAAGGTAACCCTCTAAGCCTGCCATAAAAGATGGTTTTTGTGTGTTGTTAAGAAGTCTCGGATGATACGTACAGCAGTATTTCACTTACGTGGAACCTGCAAAAAAAGATCTTCGTAAAATAAAGCTGTTTGCCACCTTAATGGGAACAATTAAGGGAATTGTTTTATATAACTGCAGAAAAAAATCTTGTCTGTAACCCCACACGCACATTTCATCAGGGAATTCAAAACAGCTGAAAACTCTTCGTTGTGCATAGTGGTGTTACAAAACAGATTCTAAGCGTGTCTCAAAATACAAGGAAAGCGACTTAGGACATATATATACGTATGCACCTACGTGTTAAGAAATCATGTATCATTACATTGTGTATATTCTGTATGTGTCTGCACAGGTGAATTTTTTAGTTAGGTGGATTTGTGCGTTCTGAACATCTAATGGGACTTGCCATGCGTTGAGGTTCTCTGCACCGAGAGGTCACGCAATGATAAAACCAAAAGAGAAACTGGATTTCAGGATTTTACATTGAATGATGTTAGCCATTTACTTACGCACTCCGAAGCGGTGATTGTTAATGAGCTGGACATGAAAGATTGCCCTTCATTCAAACTCACCAAAACTTCCAGAGTTCTGGAAAGAAAGAGACAAAAAAAAATCAGCAGCCATAAAACAGTCAGTAAAAGCGCATACGTGCTACGGAGGCACTCGTACGTATAGACTCCGTTCAACAGAGGTGGTGTTCCAAGAGAGGAAGATTGGAGTCGGGGCCTCTGAGCTGCGCCAGGCGTCAGAAGTGACTTCACAGAAATCACAAAACTAATGTGATTACTTCATGTTATCATTTCTAGAAACCTCTGATGACTTCTAAGTGATCAAGATAACTTAGCTGCTACAGGGTTGGACCTTGTGGCTTTCAGAAACCCATCTGTGGTCATTTCAGATTGAGCTTTCTTTTCCTCAATTTATGCTGCTTAAAATGAACAATACGGTCTTCCGCGGGTACTGTGTCGATTACTATTTGGAAATAATTTTAGTCTTCTCGATAGAGAGCTATCCGGAGTAGGGAATATCCCTTCTCTGTTCCACGTAGCATAAAATACTCCACAAAGTCTTACACAAAATAAATTGAAGTTCAACTGTAAAAATAACATTGTTTTGTCTGTTCCATAAACATCTCTTTAGTCATATGCAGACGTTATGGATAAAAATGTCGGATAATTATAAATGGTCAAGACTTTCTATAAATAGTACATAAACACTGCATACAAATAGTATGGGGTTTACATTTTTCAAATTAACCCTAGAAGAAAACAACACATGGTGAATGTTAAACATAAGAAGACTCTTCAGCTTCTCTGGCTTGGATTCCCAAGATTCAGACAGTTTATATTATGCATAGATGTAATTAAATAAAAATATAGATATCCATGAACTAAAATGATTAATCATTTATACCGTTCTTATATGTCATGAATTTTTATTCTGGCATAAATGCTTTAGTCAATATGGAGTTCAAAGCTATTTTAGCTAATTTGGCTAATTTCTTTTTCACTTTTACTAAAAAAGAAGTAAGTTACTTCCGCTAAACTCATTTTTAAATGATCTGTGTTACGAATAATTGATCTAACAGAAAAAATAACTCTAATTTACTTCTAATTATTACTGGAATAAGTGAATCAGAACAGATAAAAATAAAAAAAACTAATTCAATTCCAACGCACTAAATAAAGCAAACTATACCAAAACTTTCGTTACTGGTGAATTTTTTAAATGTGATGCTTTTTATTATTTTTTTTAATTTCAGTGTTCCGCTTTGCCACTTTAATGAGAAATGCCGTAGGAAATTTCAGCATGACAATTCTGCTCGAGTTTGACTGGCAAAACAATCCTATTGACTGCAGTGCGAGAGAAGTTCAGGCCGTGCCTGTCCTTGATCCGAGAAGGACTTAAGTACGCGCTGTGCTGCTGAAACACAGCCCCAGTCCTGACAGAAAGGTGTCCCTGAAGAAATTGCGTGTTTAAACTCTTAGACCTTTTGGAGATTCGCGCATCATAAACACATCACACGAAGCGTTCTTCTGTTCAAGTCACTAACCTACGGCCAGTTACGCTAACGTGTCTCTTCCCGGTGTCCTGTCGCATCCTTTTGCAGCCTGGTCATACCCTTGCACTAACTATGACTTTACAGCTGCAACTGACTCATGGAACCATAGAGTGTCTCAAGTTGGAAGGGAATAACTGAATTCAGCCCATAAATACTGAAGAATCCGCAGCACGCGGAACTATTTTTGGATGGCAACTTTTCAGTTAAGCACAAATTCAAAGAGGAAAGATCAACCTCTTACATGTTTCATCTTCCCCCATTAGCCTTGTCTTTTTATAGCATGACTTAAAGAAATACGCCACAGGCTCCGCACCAAGAACTTGGTTACGCCCAAGAAAAAACATTCATTGCGGTCATGTTTCCTGAACATAAAAACTATTCAGCCTTTCTACTTTTCCTGAACTCTCCTAAGTAACGGTGGGTGCCTTCCCAGTGACTGATTCCGTAATTGGGATTATATTGCGCGGTCCAAAGCCTGCTAGCACGGTAAGAACCCTTCCAACTGCTCTAAATTCAAATGTAGCACACTGAGTAATTTTGATTTTAAAATGAACGTATCACGTTCTTTTAAGAATCTACATCCTTATATACCTCCTGCATTGACTTTATTTCCGATGATATTTTAACTGTGTCTAAATACATTGTAGGTTTTCCTCAGCTCTTTTATCTTTTTATCTTTGGTTGGAACCATTTCTGTAGTCCCTTGTTGGGCGAAATTCCCACAGAGATCAAAAATAATTCTGCCTATGCATTAGTGAAGAACTGCTGGATTTGGCCAGTAACATCTGAGTACAGTTGCTGCCAGCTACTGGGGTCGAATTTCCAAAACGCTTTCAGATGCTCGCTTTTTCTTTTTTTTTTTTTAAAAAGTGAATGTGAATCCTCGATTTCCTGCGGGTTTTTTTCTGCTATCCAATCAATTCCCTTTGCTGCCTGACAATATCATCCTTCCTCCTGACCCGTGTGTGTTCTTGTCAGTCAGGAATATTTTCTAACATCATTTCACCATGTTTTTTATCCTCCGGCAGTTTGTTGATTTGCGCGATGCGCTACTACCAGTCCCAAACCTACGTGGTTGAAAAGATGCATCGGTGGCTGACTACCGTTGCCAGCACTAGCAGGCACTATCTGAAATGTCATAGACTCAGGCTCGCATGTTTTTCAGCTGAGCAACTAGGAAACAAAATCCATTTGAAACTTTGGAAGAGAAGGAAAGTACTGTTGAGGCTGTGTTCTCACTATGCTAGCAGAACCTCTAACTGCTACTCATAGCACTTTAACTTCATTCTTCTGTGAAAAAACCTGCTAAGTCCACCAAAACGCCAATATAAATTATTTCATACAGATCTTCATAAAAGTAGGCTTCCACATATCCCTTAGCTCTTAAGGAAACAAATTACTTCTTTTGCAGCAATGCTTCCTATACTCACAATCTCCAGGCTGCCCCCGACACCCTGACAGGTTTGTCAGCAAAAATCTAGGTGCACGTTGTGGTTTATCCTAAAGGTGGATATTCTAACTCACTAAAATACTGCATTTCACACTAACTGTTTCAGTGTGTGAGAGAGACAGCGTATCTTAGGAATTCCTGGACCTGTGACTCAGGTGTTGGGCTTTCTCGGCTTCCCTAGAAGAAGTCCAGCTTGCAAGACTTAAAGAGTCGATCCTGTTAAACTTCTCATTCCGTTTCTCTCTTACGCATTAAAGCTTGAAGGAAAAGTCACCCTTTTTTCTTCTACCTTCCTGTGTCGTGCAGCAAACTACATACTCCTGCTGCGATACGTATTATTTTCTTACATTTACAGGGATGGTTCTCTCTTGCCTTTGTGTGGAACATCTGTCTTTTTCTAGCAGTGTTCTGTAGCTACCACACTTACTCTATTTGCCACGGTGAGCTTGATGAGTCTTGGCTGAAACACGCAAGGTTTGTCTAACTTAGCTATTAAGAAATGAAGCTATTGTTTTAGATGGTGTTTGGTAGCGAATTGAGCAAAACAGGAACCTGAAAAACATTTGGATAAAACACTCCAGAAGAACATCTTAACCCATACTAAAGAAAAGGCTCGTTTCCAGGTATCTGGTGGATCTTGAAATTTCCTTGAACTCACTAGGTTGTATGAAAAATTTTCTGTAATAGCTAAGATTTCTAAGGGATTAATGCCCATATTTACACCTTACTGTTTGCAACATAAGGCTGGCCTCTGTTTATGTCCACTGACAAGCTCCACTCAAACAGGGATTCCCCGATGGATGGAGAAATGGTAACGTTTCCACTACTGTCTTCTACTAGAAAGGGCAGCTTCAAATTCCAGTCCCACCAAAAAACGTTTGCTCAGCTGATGTGCTGTACAGGCCCAAGAGCTGTGTTCTGGCTCCATTCACTTAGCTAAATATTTTATGTGGAATTTAGGAGAAAAACGGTGAGTGGGGATGTCTGTAATCTGTTCTCTTAGGCGACTTGCCCAAGTCCCAGGGGGTGGTGTGCTGAGCGGGCAGGGTCACCGGGACACAACTCCGGCATTTTAAGCTCTTTCTCTTAGCTTCAGAACACAGCCACACTCAGGCACCAGGTAAATGAAAAATAAACAGCTCCTATTAGAGTGCGTGAGTTGGTGGAAACAGATCCTCAAAAGTGGCACAAAAACCTCAATCCAGCAAAAAAGCCCAGGAAGAGGCCTGCCGTTAACTGAACAGAAGCGTACCGCAAAGTCTGATCGGGCCGGTCACTGAAGGCCCGTTGTTACAGACGGTTACTAAAATGGGGAGCTTGCCCGTACTTTTAGGAGGTGCCACTGGGCAAGCTCCTGCCGCCCTCTGGGACTGGACTCGGATCTGATCCTCGTTGACGGCGACGCTCTGTACGCCGCTGGGGCAACGCAGAAGGCCCCAGCAAAGGTCTGAATGAGAGCGGGGCCCACAGCTCGCTGACCCCACGCGCTGCGGCAAGAGCCAGAGTCCCTGGTGCCACGTGCCACCTCGCTGCTGTCGAGTTTTGCATTCCCCCAACCTTTAGCTGTCAGGCGGTCTGACAAATATCCCAAGCAACGGGCTCACTGAACACATCAGCTATCGGCGCAGACACGATGCAGTAGGCACAACCGGTTTCCCTATCAACTTCCATTCTGATACACAGCTGCGGGGATGAGCCACTTGAGTTGATCATACTCGCTCAGTTCCAGAAGCCGCAGAGTGAACTCATACAGATAATTATCTCATCTTCAAAAGGATGAACCTGTCAACACACAAAATCACTTCCTCCCTGAAATTGTCATGTCTGTAGGGTATAAGAAACGCATTTTTTCATTTCTTTGGTATCCACCTGTTTGATGGGCTATGCGTACCTCTGATTCATATAAACACTACCCCTTCAAGTTTGGAGTTCCAAAAACTAGGTGCCCTATTTCTTCTACTCGCTCATTCACAAACATCCAAGAGAAAGACATATACATAAATACATCTAGTGTTTACTAGTAACTGTTCACACGTGTGAGGCTTTTAGCTCTGCGCTCTGCATAAACTGCAAATA